TTAAAAAAAAAAAAAAAGACTGGGGACCAGCAATTGGCATAATGGCTATGTTGCTGGACTCCCATGTAGTTGACCGCAGTTTAAGTCCCAGATCTGGTGGCTTAAACTCACACCGGGCTTGTGTGCATGTGTGCCCAAGATCCCGAGAGGAGGAAGGAGAAGGGATTGTGGAGTGGCCATCCTCCCTGGGGGGTGATTTCTCGCTTTCTGTCTCCCTGTCTCTCTCTGTCTTTCTGGTGAGCACACACATCCTATAGCAAAAAGTCTCTCAAAAAAAAAAAAGAAAAGAAAAAAGACTGGAGTTCAGATTGATGTAGAGCAAGTTTTTGTTTTTTTGAGAGATTTTTGCTATAGGGCGCGTATGCTTGCCAGAGAGAGACAGAAAGACAGAAAGCAAGAAATCACCCCCCAGGGGAGATGGCCATGCCACAATCCCATCTCCTCCATTCTCTTCTCGGGATCCTGGGCACGCACATACACATGCCCAGCGTGAGTTTAAGTCACTGGGTCCGGGACTCAAACTGTGGTTGACTACATGGGAGTTCAGCAATATAGCCATTACGCCAACTGCTGGTCCCTGGTGTAGAGCAATTTTAAGTCTGATCACAACTGTGTCACTAGCTGTGAGCCTGGCGATGCAGTCACTTTCATCAGGCCCCAGTAAAGCCCCACAGAGTGTCACCCACAGCAAAGCAGTTGGGGCTGACCAGTGCCCTGATTTGGAGGCTTGGCCAGTGCCTCACTTCCTGCCTGGATGCCTCCTGCCCTCCTCCCAGGAATGAAAGTACATATTCCTTCACCTCCTGGCCCTAACTGCCTGACCCTCCCAGGTATGTCCCACACTTCTGTGCCTCCTAGCCCCCAATGCCAACTGTTCTCTGAGTGTGGAGTCCCCCCTCCTCTCCTTTTTCTGCCTTCCAATGGGCTCAGACCAAAACTTTGGGGGAGTCCTGCTCAGGCTGCCGGTTGATCCCAGCTGCCCCTTTGCACCACAGTGAGTGCTGCCCACAGCAATGATACCTCCTGTAGGGTATACCTGCTCTGTGGCTCCCATCTTCACCTCCCAGGGTCATGTCCAGGCGGGACTAGAGCCAACCTGAACACACTGGTGGCAAGAAAAGGATAGGGTGGCCCAGGCAGGGAACCTGGAGCCAGGGCCCCTGAGGAATTGTACTCCAGGTCCTTTGTGGGGGTGCCTGAGGAGGTGGCCAAGGGCTGGCCCTGGCATCTTGACCACAGGTACAACACATGAGTATATTTGTAGGTGGAGGGTGGGGCTCACAGGCTGTGTGGAGCCTCTGCCACCAGGCAGATGCTGGCTCAGTTCCTGGTCTCAAGTCCCTATCACGCTAAGCCAGGGCTCGTGGCTGCCTGCTGATTACAGCGAAGGCCGGCAGGTGGCTCTAGTTGCTGGGGGCCTCCTGGCAACTAGAACACAGTGTCCTGGCCTCTGTCCACTTTCAAGCAGAGTCTACACCAAGTCCTGAACCACCCAAAGGCTGGCCTTGTGTGTGGTGCGTGGAGGAGACAAGTAGTGGGCTGGCCTGAGCTAGCCTGGAGCATGATGGGAGACCCAGATGGAGGTGGGGCCATGGAGGGCTTCCTCAGCCCTGTGTGGAGTGAGGAGCAGGCAGCAGAGGAGAGGTCTTGACTGATGGAGGCTGTTTAGATAATTGCTACTTGTGGGTATACCCTGGGCAATTCCTTCTTGGTCACTGGCCGCTCCTTGGTCCAGCCCACACTGCTAAGAGTCTGCATGTGCCGGGCACTGTGGGAGTGTCCACTCATGCCAGCTGACGTTAGCTAAAACAGCCGGCCCTGTGGTGCCTGCTCGTGCTGACCACACTGCTCTGCGACCCAGCAGTTCTACTTCTGGCAGTTCTACCCCTGAATAAATTAAAGGAGGGATCATAGTAACCAAAAGACTTGTAAAGAATATTCACAGTAGTTGGGACCAGCAGTTAGCTCAATGGCTATGTCACTAGACTCCCATGTAGTCGACCGGGTTTGAGTCCTGGACCTGGAGGGCACGTGTGTGTGCGTGCCCAAGATCCTGGGAGGGGAATGGAGGAGAAGGGATTGTGGCGTGGCCATCCCCCCTGGGGGGTGATTTCTCGCTTTCTGTCTTTTTGGTGAGCACACACACCCTATAGCAAAAAAAAAAAAAAAAAAAAACTCTTAAAAAAAAAAAAAAATTTACAGTATTTTTTTTTAAAAAAAAAAAAAACTCTTAAAAAAATAATAATATTCACAGTAGCTTTAGTTAGTTTTAAACATATTTTGGGGTTTAGCAGAAGTATTTTTGTTGTTGTTGTTGTGTTGTTTTAGGTTTATGCTGTGGGGCATGTGTGCTCACCAGAGACAGAGAGGGAAAGTGAGAAATCACTCCCTAGGGGGATGGATGGCCGTGCCTCAATCTCTCCTCCTCTGTTCTCTTCTTGGGGTTTTATGCATGCGCTGGCACGATATTCAAGCCGCTAAGTCTGGGACTCTAACCACAGAGTTGGCTATATGGGATCCACTCACCTAAACCTCTATGCCATCTGCTGGCCCATTTTTTTGTTTTCTAATTTATTTATAGTTTTCTATAGGGCACATGAGCTTGCCAGAGAGAGAGTGAGAAACCACCTCCCAGAGGGATGGCCATGCCACAATCCTTTCTCTGTTCTCCTTGAGATCTTGAACATACATGCACACACACCCAGTGTGTTTTTTTAAAAAAATAATTATTTATTTAACTTCATTCATTTATTTTTAATTTTACCAGAGAGATACACAGAGAGAGAGAAGGTGAGAAAGCAAGCCTCCAGGTCCAGGACTTGAACTGTGGTCGACCATGTGGGAGTATCCAGCACTTAACCATCATGCCACCCACTGGTTCCCATCCCCAGTGTGTTTTTCAAACTGCAGGGTCTAGAACTTGGACCGCTCAGTTGGCCATGTTGGATTCAGAGCCTTAACCACCCTGCCACCTGGCTGGCCCAACAATAGTTTTATTCTTTTTTTTTTTTTTTTTTTTTGAGAGAGAGAGTTTTCCTATAGGGCATGTGTGTTCTCTGAGAAACAGAAAGTGGAAAATCACCCTCCAGAGGAGATGACCATGCTGCACTCCCTTCTCCATTCTTCTCTCATGATTTTGGGCACACACGTGATATGAGTTTCAAGCTGCTGGGTCTGGGATTTGAACTATGGTCAGCCATGTGGGAGTCCAGTACCTTAACCACTATGCCACCTGCTGGCCCAGTAACTTTATTCTTAATTGGCTCAAACTGGAAACTATTCAAATACTCATCTGCTATGGAATGGATAAATAAATTGTGTTCAGAGACTACCGTATGGCAATGAGAAAGAATAACTCTTGTTATAGACAATGTGGATGAATCTCACAGACATACCTCTAAGTGAAAGAAGCCCAGTCAAGAAAGCATATATACTATGCAACTCCATTAACAAAAAAAGTACAAATCTAGGCAAGAAATTCTGCAGGATTATAAGTCAGAGTGCTGGTTATCCTATGGAGGTAATGACCACAGGGTATGAGAGAGCTTTGGGGGCCAGTAACATTCTGGTCTT